TCTTGCGTTTTCAGTGCATTAATTCTTGAAAAACAACTTGAAATTGTCTCTTAAGAATGACATGTGAAGCAAGGTCTACTTCACTGAGAACAGTTTGACACAACTTTGCCTTAATCCCTCAGAGGAAAGAGCTGAAATGAAGGGCATAGCAGGCAGAGGTTCTATTGTCCACAAATCTTGGCTTGTTTTGCTGGGCCCTTGCTTCCTTCTCTCTGTTCTAGTGGGGCTATGCCCAGACAAGCTAACCTAGGAGTCCCTGTCCATTTTCATATTGTGCCAGTCAATAGAAGCCAGATTTTTCAGAACATCGAAGCCCAGAGAGAGTTCTAGATTTGGGGTTTCTGAAAAGATACCACCAGCAAGTTGTTATTCTTCTGCTTCTAGACAAAAAGATGCTTGAAGCCAGGGTCACAAAGAACCTGGGCACAATGATGGCTGGTGGCACAGTGAACTGTGGGAGCTGACCAGGCCCTGTGGTTGAAAATGAGCTGTGTCAGCTGAACTTGTCACTGCACCCTGAGCCTGTTCCTCCATCTCTGCAATAGACATAACCAACAGTCAGCTTTAGAACATTGTGACAATGAGGTGAGACAGGTGAGACCTATCAGTGACTGGAACATGATATGAGCTGTGGTTCCTGCAGGAGGTAGGTCAGCTTAATCCTTTTAGGGGTAGGCTCCTTGTTATCCAAACACAGAAACTGCCAAGTTCTGGTACATAGGAGCCTAAGAAGTCTGTGGTAGGAAAACACAAGGGGCTGGAGAGTGGGGAGTTTTCAGTGAAGAGGTGTGGAATTTTAATATAGATGTTTATATAACCATATATGTTATATAAGTTATCAAGGTGAGGATATTCTGTTGTTCCAATTTTTGTATGATAAGTTTTTACATGAATGGGTGTTGAATTTTATGCAATGCTTTTTCTGCTTAAATTTTTTATGGTTATATGATTTTTTCTTCTTTGGCCTCTAAATATAGTATATTGGTTGACTTTTAACAATGACCCAGCCTTAATGTCTTTGTGTTAAGAGGTTACTGAATGGTGAGGTTGGTGAGTGCCTTTACTACAGGAGGAAGGCTTGGGGTCAATGGAGAGAGCAAGTATCTTGACTTTCCAACCAGGATGCTTGACAAGGGCATGACCCTCAGAAAATTTTCCTGTGAAGCTAATTTCTTTTAAAAATAAGTTTATTTTATGTGTATGCATGTTTTGCCTGTATATGTCTGTACACCATGTGCTTGCCTGGTGCCCATTGAAGCCAGAAGAGAGCATCTGATCTCCTAGGACTGGAGTTACAGATGCTGACCACCTGGGTACCTGGAATCAAACCCAGGTCCTCTGGAAAAGCAGCCTGTTGCTCTAGTCCCTTAAACTCCACCATCATTCCAGTCCCCTGGTAGTAGTTTCTTAGAAAGTGTTTCCGGGCAAAGAACCATCATAGACTGGGGGAGTCTGAGTGGGAAGAAAGTCATTGTAGGATATGACATTAATTGAAGCCCTATCCAGAAAAGTTCTGGAGCCTGAGCCACACCTCAGAACTGTCCCTACCATAAGCAAGGGAAGAGTGTTTGTTTCCTCCATATTGACTGTTGGTGAGCCTTGAGGTCAGACTAATTCAGAACTATGTGGCACAGGCAAAGCAGTTGCAAGGGAGCCTTGTTAGCCTCATGCTACAGGAGTGGCTTCTCATTCACAGAATAGAAGTGCTATAGGTCATGGGCCCTAAACAATGCAAATGGTTCCTGTGATCTGTTAGAGGTCTGAGGGGTCTAGAATTTTTCCTGTGGGTGGAGGGTATTGGCTGGATAGCTACACTGTGCCAAGAATGAAAACAACTATTGTGGTGGGTACTATAGAAGTGATTGTCCAAGATGGCTTCAAATGGAGTTTATACCAGCTCCGGTGATGGTCTGAACACATAGAAGGCCAGAAGGGGGTCTTAGCATTATTGGGAACCACTGAGCTTTGATCATTGTGAAGGAGTGATACACAAATCACACCAGTCCAGAAAATGCAGTCACATCAATCTGGTAGTATGAGAATTCTTGTTTCTAGAATTCTCCTCTTTCTTTTCCTTTTTCACCATGACTTCTGGGAGGAGAAAGATGGAGCTTAGATTTCTTATCCCAAAGAACTAGTAAGTCCTTGAAAAGAATTTGGGGTTTGGAGTTGACTTTTTCCAGGCAGAAGGTTGATTTACACAGTAGCAACAAAGATTCTCTAATTGATGAACTTGCATTTTTTTCTGTGTCATGAGTGAAAAATACAGACTCTAGAGTCTGAAGAAATTGCTTTCAGACAGTTTGTTTTACACCTCTGAATTCTGGAAAGTAAATTTTGTGACAGCCTACCAGTATCTCACCACCCAGCACAAACAACTGAGTGATAGCAGTCTGTTTCATCACCAATTCTAAGCAATTATTGAGAACTCCATAAAACAATCCTGCTACCAACTCTGCATTGTAACATGCTGCTGACCTTTAGAACCTGTCACAGAGGATGTAAGTTATGTCCCTATATGGAAGGACCATTGGTGATGGTCACTTCATCATAAAAGTCTGTTTTTTTGTTGTTGTTTTTGTATGTACTATGTGTGTCAACCAAACATTCTAAAGTACAGAATAGTTACAACTTGACTCTGGCCATTTTAAAGAAGTAAAGAAACCCTTTTATCAAGTAAGTTCCTGCAGATAAAATCCTACCAGTCGAACAATATTGGGAATCTGTTTCTGCTCCTTGAAGATGACCTTGCCTCACCCTCTAT